CTAATGTTGGGGAGTAATGATATTGATGGGCATCGAGATCGTAGTCGTAGGATGACTAGCTGTGTTGACAGGATCTCATGCGTATCGACAAGGTGAACGATAGATGGTGGAGAACAAAACAAACATCTCCAACTTTCGTGTGGAACTTTCCCACCACGAATGGTGAAGGTCCCGTCACTCATCTATCGGATGTCCTTCGCTTCGTTTCTTGCAGAGCGATGAAGCGATACTCGATATGCTCTCTAGCGTCCAGAAAAGTGTGGAAATCGAGTTTTGGAGACCGTCCTGGTCTTGCGTGTACAAAGTATGGGCAGTTTCGAACCATCTCATTTTTGTTACCCGCATGGCATCCTGCGCAACCTGGCACCAGTCACGATATTAGATTAGAAAGAAAAGAATTTTTTTCTTACAGCAAAGCAACAGGACGGATCGGAAAAATTTGCGAGGGGTATCATCCGATAGAGCAAAGCAAGCTCTACAAAATGACATCTGACCCTTGGCTTAAGTCGTGATTTATCCAAAGTAAAGCCAGAACTAAGAGCAATTCAGTGCTAAAAACCGGATTTTCGTCCCAAAAAATTCCACAAACCTCTCCCTTGCTCCAGCATTTAGCAGACACACGCAGTTATATACTTGTGCACTTTCCATATTTTTTTCGCGATTAGAAATCAGGAAAAAATTCAACAACAAAAAACAGCAAACTCTGCCCCTATTGCCATGAGCGCCGCCTTTAAATTATATATAAGATATTATAATATATGTATATATATATATATATATATATATATATATATATATATATACAAGCATTTGTGTACTACAATCCTTCGAGACCTTAATCATGAAATTTGGGCCTTCGATATGTTCTAGTTCCTAAGTAACACCAATTTTAGCTGGAAAAACCCTAAAAAAACGACATTCTTTTTCCGACCTAATACCACCTTCGGGTGTTTTAGTATTAGACTTAGATTTGAAGGCAGTCAATTTTAGCGAACTCGCTCACTTCGCGTTATCCACAACGCTGAATCTGGAAATGCACGTTAGGGAGCGCGAAAACACCGAAAACAGATGTTTCTTGAAAGCAGTGGCTCGGAAAAGCTGCAACTGCGCGCTTTCTGTTCCTCCTTGGCCTTCTGGATGGGCTTAGACCAGAGCTGTGCTTGAAAAGTCAAAAAAGTGCGGCGATTTTGGCGGCGATTGGTTGATTCGGCTGCGGGAATTTTCGCTCCAGCCTCCTCCAATGCAATCTCCAAGGCCCGAGAACGCCATAAAAAGCATTTTCTGAATTTTCGGGCACAGCTCTAGTCTAAACGCATCCAGAAGGCCAAGAAGGAATCGAAAGCGCGCAACTGCAATTATTCCGAGCCATTGCCTTCGAAGCCTCAATTTGAATTTGAACGAGTGGAACACTTCCGCCAAGACTGAGACGCAGGGTCGCTGCGGACTTACGAGTTTCTTTAGGCTGCGTTCACACTGATTTGAAAATTCAGGAACAGTTCCAGCACAGCGCTCGAACTGAGCGTTGTGCTGGAACTGTTCCCGAACTTCGGGATCAGTATGAACGCAGCTTTAGCGGCATGCTTAGTCTACCGCAGAGAAGGAAATTCACAAAAGGGCGAGGCTCTTCCTTAGAGCATGAGTTTCCCAACACTGACGTACTATTTCCTGCTTCTGCTCAAACGCTGGCCTCGTACTCGCGCGATGGCGGGTCCGAGGGAGCCCACTTTCGCATGTCACTGAAACACCAAACCCCCTCCCCCCCCCCCTTCCCCTTGCCCGGACACTGCCTCTGACCCAGGATTACATAACTAGCAAAAATGGCAGCTTTTGCAAGCGTGCAGCAGCTCAAAGTTGGATGTATTTGAAAAGGCTGTCTGGCCAAAAAACTTTGCTACTCAAATAAATTCAAAGGATTGCAAGAATTACACGACGCGTGCAAAACGGTAGCAGCGTAGCTTCTCCTTCTCAATCCTGCGTTATGTCTTCAAAGGCAGTGGATCGGCAGAATGGCCCCTTCTCGAATTTTGGATGGACGACCCCCCCCCCAAGTACACTGTAGCCCAAACCACACCTCCCAATTCATGCACTAAGTCCTCAAAAATGCGCTTCAAAATCCACCAACCCCGCCCATTTGCAGTGAGTGGGCGGGGGCTGGTGGAGTTTTGAAGCGCATTTTTCAGGACTTAGCGCATGAACTGGCAGGTGAGGTTTGGGCTACAGTGTACTCGGGGGGGGGGGTCTACTACCTAAAATCACCATCCGAGAAAGGTCCATTCTATTCTGCCGATCCACTGTCTTTAAACGCTTCAAAAGGTATGTCGGTACCCCCCCCCCCTTCCCCTCCCACCCTCTTATTTTGAAGCCGGAAATGCTAGGAACGAATGTTCACTAATGAGATTTTCGCCAACAACACATTCAGACTAAAGTACGAATTATTTCCGTGTATTATACACGCTCTACTCTTGCTAGGAGGGTTCACACACAACTTAAATTCAAAAATAATTCCTATAATCTTGCTGACCTAAAATTCCGACAACGAAAAAAAAATTGCCAACGTGCTGCAAAAGCAAGAAATGCCAATTTAGACACTTTCTGCCACTACAAACAGTTCAGGACATGTTTGAAACATGTTTTGACAAGTTGAGATAGATTCACAAGGCGAGAAAACGTGACAAAGAGTCATTGGGACGAGTGCGCTGCGATGGGGCGCGCCAACCACTTATCGATTGACGGCGGCAACATGTCTGCAACTCACTAGCAAACCGGAGGCCTCATTCAAAAAGGATTGTTAGGTTTGTATACAACAGAGTAGTAAAAAATATTCACTTGACAATGTACTCTTTATCTAAAGACACGATGCGATCTGAGAAAAGAATTCAAGGCAGAATAAGGACTCGTGCAAAAAGAACTTCTTTAGTAGAGAAGCACAGACTACATACATTAAAGTTAATCAAAACGCATAAAAGAGGTACAAAAAATTGTACAGGTAGGAGATACTTTCAAAAGTGAAGCAATACACTGATTGACCTAAACAGTGTGCGCAGTCTGAACCAAACACTTCAATTCAGTAAAGTAAGATGACAGAGAATTGGTCACTGTTAGATTAGCTCAGCTTACAGCTCAGACACTTCAGGTACGATACGAAGTGGTGATTTAGAAGGCAACGATCCTATCGAAACGCGACTACTCACAGAAAGTCTACTCAACGATGGACGACCGTAATCGCCAGAAATCATGGCAGAAGGAGTCAGCGGGGTGGTGTCAATGTCGCTGGCAACAAGTCGATGTTGCAGAACTTGTACTTCGGCGGAGACAAAACGATCGCCAACTTTCTCGATGATTTCTTCGCAAAGCTTGCGGTACTCCTTATCCACCTCTCTGCCCTAAACGTGATGATTTTGCTTATCTAGGTCCCTACGGTATTGAACAAAGATGTAAAGCATAGTGTGCATAGTAAACTAGAACATGTGAGTGGAGATACGGTGATACTGTATAACCGCTTTGTAAACATTCAGTCAAATATTACTTCTAAACGCTGCTCAACATTTTTGTGCTTGAAGAACACTAGGCAAGGTTTTGTTTCAAATCTGGCATTCTTTTATCGCGCTCTAACTTGCAGTAACAATTGCTGGATGGGCGGCATGAGGGCCAAATGCGGGAATTGGGCTGCTTTCGGAGCGTTTTAGGCTTCGTGGACCAATCTTCCGCTACTACTTCAGTTATCGCTTGATTAAGGAACCACTTATAGTGTTACAAGAACCTCACTTTGCTTCTAAACTTGTATCGTTTTCCCTACGTACTGCAAAAAGCATATTAAACATAACATATGCACTTACAATTAGTGTTTAAATGGCAGTCGCATCTATAGGATTAAAAATGTCAAACTTTTGATCTTCAATATTTTCGTTTATGAAGAGCCTTCGTGACCATTTAAACACCAGGTTAGATTTACAGTATGAGCCAATCAACGATCGCGCTTCATTACAGTAGGAATACGATGGAAACTTTTAGCAACAGCGTCAGTGTGTAAGCGCCGTTGTTTCAAAAAATTATTCAAAAAAGTGAAAAACGTAGGCTTTCATGCATGCTTATTTTACTTGTCGCTTTTTCACGTATTCAAGCTTTCTGAACGTCGGGTTTCAAGGATAGAAATAATCTATTACGCAGTGGCGGTTCCAGGAATGCCGTTTTCAAAACAAATTCGTTAGCCACGCAATCCAAAAATTCTCTTGGGGTGTGCTAACCAAATTTTTTGGCCAAGAAAACGAAATTTCAGAAAAAGGGGTTAGCCGTAGCCACGCAAGCGTTCAGTACATTTTTGGGGACATCCTGAATTGAGTTTCTTGTACAATGCGCGGTGTTATCAAATTCAATCGTGTCACAAATATGACAGCTCCTTCTATCACTTTGTGCCTATGTCGTGAAAGCAGTATTTACAACTTTTTTCTGGTTATCTGCATTAAGGTTGAAACAAACTGAATATGCGATGTTGAATTTGATTTTTACGAAGGACTTATCATTCTTTAAGTCAGAGGCAGTCCATGCTTGAATTCTGCATAGTGCTCGTTTCTAGACATAAAATGTTCTGACTTTGACGATCATATCTTTGCTGCAATTGCAAGCGCTTTGTAAATGTTTGCAGTGCATTATATGTATGAGCAGAAAGATTTTAAGGAAGATCCAACCTTGGCGCAAATGTCTTAGATCTAGCATCAAAATTAAAAAGTTGAAAATTAAACTACTAATAATTAAAATTAATTAATTAATTTTTTATTTTAATTTTTACTTCGCTGACGCTTTTTGAAACTTGTTCGCTCTACTGAGCATTAGTTTGATTAGGCATTTCTAGAGCTAAATTTGGTCTCCAGAATTCATAAGCCGCTATGTTCAGTGATCTTGAGAATACAGAAACCGCGATTTCGCTTATAGTAGTCCAAAACTTACAAAACTGTAGGGATCTTCTTGATACACGTGTCTTCCTACCGCTTTGTCTACGGAAGTGTCCGCATATGGAGGTGGAGGAGGGCGACTGACTCTATTGTAACGATGCGAGGCAGGCATTTCTAAAAGAACATAAAATGTGATTTATTTTCTAATTTAACATGAGCTTTAATCGAGTCGAAGCTAACCGCTGAGCTGCTCTAGCACGTAGCAAGTTGCTTTCTTGGAAAAGTCCTCCTCACTCCTCGGAATGGGAAGCATCTTTGAACTCAATCTCATTTTCTCCGTTTGCGATTCGGGCCACAATTTTGATGCCAATTCGATCATGGTAGCCCATATTAAGAACCTGGAAGCGCGACATCAAAAAACCCTTTTGAAAGAAAAAAATTACAATACTTACGTCTTATTCTCAATCATAAGCTGCTCATCTTCGCCTTCTACCGATATCTCTTCTGGCACATCTGGGACGGCAACGAAATCATCATATAATGGAAGTATACAACCCTTAGCGCATATTCTGCTCCACAAAGGTTTCACCAGTTGCTGGCACTAAAAAACATCACTACAAATCATAAACCTGTTGAGTTGGATTTGCAAAAAAAATGGACGGCTTAATATTTTGAACTACTCGTAAAAAAATGGTTACAGATCGCAATCTACTCAATGCGAGGTAGGTGACGATAAACATAAATTGACTCACCTTCGCCGTCATCCAGTCGTCCGATTCCAGAACTTGACTCAACTCCGCGAGTTGGTTCTCTTTCGCATCCTCTGCAGAAGGCTGCGGTGGCGGTTCCTTTCGAGGTGTATCAGCTACTACAACTATCTTCTTACAATGCAGCTTATTCACATTTGAACATAGATTAAAATTACCCAGTTGGGGAAAACCAGGAGTACGATCGGTTGGTGAGAGCACCGTATGGAGACTCGACGAAGGCTGCAATGACTAGTGTAGTATGTGTGCTGAGATGCTTCCCAAAGCAGGGCGCATCAAGGGCCCCCTCCCACTCCCAAAATAGGCCCCAAACTGAAAATCACTGTGAGCCATAGAACAGTACATGTGATTTGCTTTTACTGGTAGAATGTAAAAAAAATTTTCAAATATTCCAAAGAACTCAAATTAACTTTACCGCCTTCCTCTTGTTCTCAAAACCTTAAGATACTTGCAAAATTTTTTCAGGTCAACCCTAAATTTTTGAAGAAGTGCCGCGAAAATTTTTACGATGCTTAGGTTTTTGAAAATTACATTAAATTTTTTGAGCAAAAATGAGTTTTTCGGCACAATTTCAAAATCCACGAAAAATTCGCTCGCCACTAGCGCAAACTGAATACGTATACGGTAAGTATACGTGGAAAATAGATAGCAGAAGCACACCATCCTTACACATGCATAAACTATTTGTGAGCAAACCTTTTCAATCGAAAGCAGATCTTCATATGTATCATCCAGCTGCTCAAAGAGATTCTGGACTGGTTTTGAGACTGTCTGCTCTTCTTTACTCGAAAAAGAGAGTCGACCTGGAAAAAATATGTTGCAGAAAAGGGCTGGAGTGCTGCAGAAAAGGTTTACCTGTCAACTCTTTCAAGTCGTCAGTGTCATCTACAGCGTTCGTAACCAAATCGTTCACGATGATGTTTGCCTGTGATATTTGTTTTTAGCAACAAAAAAAAAACTCGAAACAAAAAGAACTTTTGAAATGCTCCTTTGTCAAGTAAGCTTCGGATTGATTTTCAACTTACTATGTCTGATTTGAGACTATCATCAAGCAGACGAGGACTTGAACCAGGCATTTTGGTATTGAATCTCCTGAAAAATCGCTAAGTACTGAGAAGGTGCAGGAAAAAAATCAAAACGAACTCTTTGGGTGCACGCGGCGATTTCGGAGTTGCCAAAACCGAATCATTGAGCAGCGAATCATTGAGAGTATATCGCGGCAATGATCGTCGTCGAGGCGAATCCAAAAGCGATTGCAGAATTGAGGTGGACAGGTTGTCACAAAGTTCGCTACGGTTGAGGCCCTGAGATGATTCCTCTCATTATAGCAGACATGTATAGCGCCTACTTGTGAAAGCGAAAATTGCTGACCATGCTGACACGACCGCCGACATCTAAGAAAGAAAGCTCATAAGAATCTTTTTCTCGTTTCTCGTCGGACTTCGGCTCAACTTCCCGCACTTCTTCGGTGATTAGCTTCTCCTGCTCTTGACTCTGTGCTCTAAACTAAGTTTGCTGGATTTGCCTTACATCAGTACTATAGTGCGGTTCATAATTATACGAACACCTCAAACAAGGGTCCATTTCCCTTCAAGATTGTAATCATTTGAGTCCAAATTTTCTGTAGAGTTACAGTAACAAAGTCTAACATATCTGCTACACAATGAACCCAGTGCAGTTCAAAAAGAGGGCCGTTATTTTTTTCAGAAGGCTCTAAATGCTTTTGGAGTGACTGTGCTCCAAAAACATCCGTTCTTCTGTGGTTTACGCGCTTTAAATAGCTTCTACCAAAGCTATGAGATAAAATAAGCTCTTTCAATAGATGCATTGTTTGCATGATGATGTTTCTGTGCCAAAATTTTTGGGTTGTGGAGCTACAAACCAAATAAAGGTATGACTGCAATAGTAAACAGTGTTTTTGGTGAAATGACGTTTGCGTGGCCAAAACAAACGCTCAACGCTGCTGATTTTTTCTAGCCAAATATATAGTCTTGTGAACTTCTACATACTATATGCTTACTTCATTGTCGGCTTCAGAAGCTGAGTTTTGAGGCTCGAAATCGTGCTAACTCTAGGGTAAGGTTGGAACTTGGTTGAAAAAGGCACGAAAGCGCAAAGATTTTCCAACGTCAAACAAAACCTATCGAAAGAGCTTATTCTATCTCATAGCTTTGGTAAAAGCTATTTAGAGCGCGTAAACCACAGAAGAACGGTTGTTTTGGAGCACAGCCACTCCAAAAGCATTTAGAGCCTTCTGAAATAAGCGACGGTCCTCTTTTTGAACTGCACTGGGTTCAGTGTGTAGCAGATATGTCAGACTTTGTTACTGTAACTCTACAAAAAATTTGGTCTCAAATGATTACAATCTTGAAGGGAAATGGACCTTTGTTTGAGGTGTTCGTATAATTATGAACCGCTAAAAATTCGCATCAAGCGCAAAAACACTCCTAAGATTGACATCAATTTCCATTCTTATGGATTACTAGCCGGCGGTCCCGGTTTCACTCGGGACTCCAGTTTAGCTAAGAAGAAGTTAGTTATACTTACGCTTTTGAGCTTCTTCTGTGCGAAAAAGGCTTTGAAACAAATTGCCCGCATCTTTCCGACATTGAGATTAAAATGAGCTATACCACCCCCTGACTACATGATCACGGCAAAATGATTGGTTTGAGCATGTCAAGCCTCATTTTCCCAGATGTAAGTAAACAAATCAACAAATCAATAGAAGGACCTAGTAAATCGCCGCGAAATATAGCCTATGTTCTGCGCCGGGGTCCAAAACATAAGTGTGCAAAGTTTCAGCTCATTTAGTCCACTCAGAAAAATTTGTATAAAAAACATACTTATTAACAGACAAACACACTTTGAATTTTATATATATAGAGATATACCGTTTTCGGCTGTGTTCTATCGCGTGGTATTAACGGCTTTTTGAGTTTCTCCCAAAAAGTCCAAAAACTTACAAAATTTTGGGTGTTCGTATAATTATGAACCGCACTTTACAGCAGAAGCAATTCTTTAAAAAAAAACTCATCAACAAGACTAATGAGACACACAGAAAAGTGCAAAAGGCCCCTTTCACCGCTGCATCTTCAGAAATAAATAATCTACAGGTCACAAAGGGTGTCCCAAAGAATGCCATCCTGTTTGTTCCTCAACACTTTTCTTTTGTTCTCAAATTCTTTTTGCCTAAACCGGCAAAAGAATGAAATGGTGATCTCAGGAAAACTAACTTGTTCTCATTGAAATCTTCTGTTAAAGATGCGTCTTCGTCCTGGGTGCGAGCAGTAAAAGAACTGCGCTGTGCAGAATTTTCTTCCTCAGGTACGACCGAGGTACTTTGGTCCGCATTTAGTACTTCTTCTGTTGCTGTAGATTCCGTTGTTGTGCTCACTTCGTCAGCCAAACCCATATTTGCTGTAGCTGAAACAATTTACAGAGTGTCCATTCTGGGGGTGTCAATATGTATGCTATACTTCAAATATAAAAATTTACCATCGCTCTGGGAGCTCAACTGCGTCTCTTTCTCCACCTCATGCACTACATTTTCGCCATCCGTTGTTACCTCCTTCGCGCCATCCCCAAAGTTTTCCTAAAAATTATACGATTCTTAGAGATCAGAATTGAACTCAGCAGAGGCACCTCATTCACATCGTTCTGTGATTTGGGGCGCTCTTCGTCCACACTAGAAGGCTGTGCATGATCTGCGCCAGAGCTTGCTGAGAATCGGTCTCCGCTACCTTCCGCATCCGATATGAATATACCTGAAACACTCCTTCAGATGTTCTCTCTATACAACTACGTCAATGCGTCAAAAATCAATTTACTACCTTCCTTCAGGACCTCCTTCGTCTCTTCATGGCTGAGTTCAAGTGGACTCAGATTATTATCTCCACTTTCCGCGGTTTCGGTTACATCAACTGCATTTCCGATAGTGCTTGGGGTTTCCAAAGTAGAGGCGTCAAGCACTTCACTAACATGTGTTACAGTTTTGTCTGGAACGTTCACTTCCGCTTTACTCCAAGTCCCAGTGTTATACATGGACACTTCCAATCTGACGCTTTCGTGAGGAGTTATCAAATTGTCGCCCAACCCGTTCTCGTCCACGAACTGGTCTGCTTCTTCAAAAGCTTCATTCGGCAACATTGCCCCCGTATCAGGAGCCACTGTGAAAGTCTTGTCAAGTACTTTCCCACCGTCTGATGAGGACAGCTCTTCAAGAGGAACTTCCTCAATTGTGGCATCCGTCAGAGTGAAAGTGGCTGACTGCAACTACCTATTCATGGCAAATCGAAAATTCTGCATGGCTCAATTCTATACCTCCAGTTTATCAAGAATCTGATCGACACTATCCAGAGAGTTCTCATCACCGACAACCGTCACAGTCTGACGTGACAGCATTGCTAGGGTCTCCGCCGTGTCCAAGGTTCTACGAGATGGATGAAGATGATCCGCATTTTCTGAGCAAAATTCTATTCGCAGAACAGAAACAAGTAGGGGAAATCATACCAATATTCTTTGTTTCCAAAGCATCATCCACATCCGACTGGTACAGAGTAGAAGAACTTGCTGAGCTCTGATTCTTCTGAAAAGATTTGATTCAGAGATGACATAGGCGGACAAGTCCGCCTGCAAATAAAAGCATGAATTTTCAATTAAAGAACATGAATTCCCTAGAACTTTAAGAACATGGGGCTTGCTGTGTATGTGACTTCAATGCGCAAAATTGAACTGGAAAAAAAGGTCCATTCTAGCACCAAGAAAAATTTTTCAACAAGATTTATACCATAGAAAGAACGCTTTAAGAGCTTGGGTTAGAATGCGGAAACCATATTTTCGCAGTTTTCCCAGAAAATTCAACTTTTAAAAACGGAAACTTATCTAAGGTTCATGGTAACTGATTCCTATTGGACTCAAGTGAATCAGAATGTTTGATAATATCATAACTTCTACCTCTTCTTCATCAAAATGAGAAAGCGAATCTTCGTAGACGGTAGATTGTGAAATAGTGCGTATAATCCCTACATCAGTGCTATCCTAAAATTTGTAGTTGCAACAAGAAAAGCCAAAAAAATATAAGAACTTGAGAAAATACGATTACCTCGGATAATGAGCTTTGTTGATTTCCTCCCGATTCTGACACCGATATGTTGTTCCTTTCGTCTTCTATCGCATGCTCCTCTAGCTGAGCAAGATCTAAGGGTTCTACCCCAACCCGACGAGGAGTTGGTGTTGGCTGCGACACTAAATCTACGAGTGATCTCAAGAAAGAACAAGGATCCTGTCTACAAACCTTCTTCTTCCGCAGAAATTTCATCCAATTTGTTAAGTAGCTCCGTTCTCTCAGAAATTACGCGGTCATACTCGATGATTTGGGCTGTTATTGACTTTCTTGTCCTGAAGAAGTAATTATATGACTATTTTCGGCACTATCGGTCGATTTGAATGAGTTACATTTGCTCAATATCCCTTGTTTTCTCTTCAAAACTTCTATTCAGAATTTCAGCCTGTTCGCGGCGGATATCCAGATTTCGGCGCAATGATCGTGCACTGAGATTCCATAAGTCGCATTCAACTGAAACTCGACAAAATAAGTTACTGCGAGAAGCGATAAAGCCATTGAACTCACCACTCTCGTTCAACGCCTTTGTATCCATTCTCACAGGCGGCAGCTCATTCTCATTAGCGATGGTAGGGATAGCCAAATTTTTTGAACGAGATGCATCGTCCTGTCTAAAACTTCATTTTCCGTCTACAATCGGCAAGATAATGCTGCTCAATATTATTCAAATGAAAAAAAATTCAAAAAGTGACTCATAGCAGTTGCACTTATAGATCTTTCATAAAAAAAAACTCACGTTGTGACCTGTGCAGCAGCCTGTGCCGATAGGAGGCGTTTGATCCTGTTGCTGCATTCTTCGCTCTCATCATAAACCTTCTTTTGCTGTCTTTCAACAATTTGCAAAAACTCATGCTAAAATTACGGTAAGAAAACGTATTGCAATTATAAGAGCCAATAATGTGATAATCCAAACCTGTGAGATCCTTTTTCTCAACCATGACTTTGCTTGAACAATCGCTTCTCTGTACTCCTTCTCCGCCACCCTGGATAGCTCCTCGATTTTTGGCACTTGCTCAGGCTTGCATTTAGACCTAAAACACGGTTAATGCTCGAACAATGGATTCGTTTCAGCTAACCTTTTGAGCTTGAAAACTGCAGCTTGCAGGGTATGCAAGACATTGTACATACGAAGATATTCTTCCACTTTCGTCTTTCGTTCCTGTCGCTGTGCTGCAAAAATGTGATCAAAGGCAAATATCTGCAAAGTTGTATAAGTTGTACATACCAGGGGTCATAAATGCTGTCTTTCGGACAGGCGAGGGCATAAAATTGAACCTCACGCTCGTGTTCATTGGTTTTGATGTTCCTTGGACTTTACTGGAAAGCAAGAGAGATTTGCAAGCTGATGCTTCAAGATAACTATCGTCCCTTCAACAGTTGCTGGTACCCTTAGTCTGCGTCTCAGATCTGCCACGTGTGGCCAACATGTTGGCAAGTTGACAACAACATGTTTGCAACATGCGAGAACGTGTTGGCATTTAGGCCAAAAGCCAAAATGTTCTGGCAACATTGCGGCACGTTGCAAACATGTTGTTGCGACGTTGCCCATGTTAGCCACACGTGGCAGTTCTGAAACGCAGACCAAGGGTAGCAGCAACTGTGGAAGGGCAACCTCTATACCTTCATTGCGCTCTCATTATGATGTAAAATAAAAAGTGAATTGATAAGAATACAATATGTAAGGTTTATAATAACCATAATAGAATGTCCAAGTCAAATAAATGATCTTAATTAAGTAGATCACGTACATGTTTTTCTTTGGCTTCTCACTATCGTCACTGGTCACAAGCGAGTCGTCTCGCAACGAGATGGAGTCTAGTATTCTGTCAACATCGTCGGAGGCATCATCCTTCAAAACTCCGAATTTTTGCCTATCAAAGAACATCTCCTCTTTCGTAGGAACCTCGCCATATTCATATCAAATGTTCAAAATAGAGCGCAAACTTATGGTAATATCACTCTTTAAAAAGCTATGATAAGATAGTTAAAAGACGGCTACCCCAAGCTGCTGCTCTGCCTTTTGCTGTACCAAGGTCGCGAGATGATGGGCGTTATTCAAATGCGTTTGAATCTTCTGAACTTTTTCGGCGTAAGCCAACTCAGCAGCCATGCTAAACAAGATTATAGTTCGATACAACTAAACACTCAAGTGATCACCTGGCTCCCAAGACTTTCGATAGTGGGATATTCCTTGAACCCAATTGTTCACTCGCTTTCTCCTGAAGAAGAAACAACAATAAATTGCACATGTTTGAATAAACGCGCTATCACCTCCATGCTTGAAGACGCAAAATGTACTTTTCTGCTGTCTTCCTGACTGTCAGTGGCATCAGGTTCATAAGACAAACTGTTTTCAAATAAGGGCTTTGATGGAAGAGAATGGCGCAAGGTCTCGCGAGCTGCTGTGAAAGAGTAGGAGTTGCTGACGTGCCAAGTGAAAGCATAGTTCTTACCGATATCTCTATTGCGCAGATTTTCTACTTGGGCAACGTCCAAAGTTTGACGTTGGTCGCTAAACGGGGGAATATCCGAAGGTAAGGTCAATTTGATGGGATGTCTAAAAATCGCCCATATATGAAAACTTTGAAAGGCACCATAATCCACTACTCACTGCAATGCTTCGGTAGCTTCCTGCAATGCTTTATCTAGCCTCTTCGAGGCCTTTTCAAATGATGCTAATTGTGTTTCCGTCCTTTCCTTTATTAAAGTGTCATGTTTCGAAGGCGACGTAGATGAGAATTTCTTTACTAAATAAATTTCAATATAACCATCTCCGAGTTGTTTTCAAATTTTAGAAGACACTTGCCATTGATTAGTGAGAATTTTGGGATCTGTCCTGTAGAAATGTCATGAAGCTTTGGATCTGGAGTTGCAGCGTGCCCACTACAAAACGATGCATCAGTGTCCGATCATCTTACCAACTGTCATCACAGTTTGTTACTGCTACAAAACTATGAATTCTAATCACCTTGCTGTTCGATTTGCTCGAGGATGTGTCATTGGCGTATAGAAAAGTTCGTTAGGGCTTTCTACTTTTGATGGTGTAGCAAAGATTGGGGTTTCTAAACATATAAGATACAAATTTTTTGAGTTATGGGTTCCATGAAACTGAAAGGAGGACGAATATGAAGATTCCACAAAAAATCCAAAGAGATGAGAATGCGAAATTATCTCACAAGATTATGGGTGAAGAACGCAATGTAAAAAAAAACAATCATAAGCCAGAATTTCAAGCTAAGCGTTGTGAGAAGAGATGGAAGAAATGTGTGGAACTGGCAGGAAAGAGGTGCGTGAAAGCAAGCTCATGATAATGGCACACTGGGGTGGGGGCGGACGGGAGAAGAAATGAGACGCGAGATTTTTGAAGGTAGCTTACATGGGTTATAAATGCAAATGGGTACTTCCACTAGTAGAATAAAATAGTGATGAGATTTTATGCATTGAAATTACTTTGTAAGAACCATTTGGGAGTGGCTGCCTCCACGTCTCCTTTTTTTGAATATCACCCCTATGGACTGCAAAATACTAGCAAAGCATTCCAAAATGTTTAGAATGCGTGGCTAATGGGACGCTCCTTGTTCCAGAAAAAAAATTCTGTCGACCCCCTCGCTCCCCCCCCCCCCCCCTCAAATGGAAATCCTGGGACCACCGATTCAGTGTAGCTTGAAAACTTCTACACAAAAAATGCGCCTTCATAAACGCCAAATAGAATGAACCAAATTCACTTTCCCAGTCAGAGTCAAATGGCAAGGTAAGACCAGAAGACTTCAATATGAAGCGCTCGTTGTGAAGGGAGGAATAGTAGCGCAATACGAACCAATCAAAAAACATGCTACAAGTATGAGTTCACTTCATAATTGATTAGAAGCAAATGGAAGAAGACAAGCGTCACAGAAAATCAAATAATGACCCTTTAGTGGGGATACGCCCTATACGCCCTACCTCGCTCCTGAGAAGATGGCATCGGTCCAGTTCGCCCTTCAGTTGTTGGTATGGCATATCCATCATCGTCTGTTGTAACCACTTGACTGGAGCTCTTGACTACCTTCGTAGTAGTTGAATGGACGCTTTTTTCGGAATGGATTACCTAACGTAACAAACAGATAAAGATGGAAGTTAAGACTTTGACTTTTTACCTCATTGTCTTTCAATTTGCTCGTTAAGTACTCATCAGTGCGACGATTTTCCTTCTCAACCCTTATGATGTTATCCTTTGAACCGTGTGATTTTTCCGTGCCAGTTTGCGATGGGCCCTCAACCTGTGGTCATTAATAGAGTTCAAGATAAACGAAAGAGTTCTCTTACCTTGCTGTAATGTTCAACAAACCATGGTCCGCGCGAACGACGTTTGGGGGTTGCCTCGAGAGGCACCTCGTAAGTGCCATCCGCAGACATCATTCCAGCCATAAACTTTGATGGGCTGTGCACTAAAGAAAATTCGAAAACTTACCTCATTAGCTCACTAATTAACATAAGATCATTACATACAACAGCAACAAACGAGTGGACTCGTACGGTTGATTTCTAGATCTTCTCAAAAGACTTACTGCTGCTCCATTTTTGTAATTTCTCCACGTAATCTTGAACACCAGCATCTGAGCGAGTTTGCGGATGACTTGTTGTACGAGCACGTTCTGGCTGCGACTGTTTAAGTGGTATCTTAGATTCTAAACAACAGCCTGTGCATCTGCATGATAAACGAAGCCAACAAGAAGAGAGCGCAGAAACCAACTCGTATAAGCCTTTGAAGATGACTGCTTGGATGGAGATCGTTGCTTGTTGGGGCTGCAAAGAAAACTTTGTTATTAACCAGAATCAAAGCGCTTTCTTGGTCGCAATGCGAGTAAAAATCATGTCCTTCTAGTTTAAATCTGATAAAAAAATACACAACAAAAAAATCACTTTTGCGCTACTCGCTGATATGAAAACTATCCGAATGACTATTAAATACCTTCGTCTATGGAACTGAACGTCCGCTGAGTACAAAACGGACTTAGTTTCGCTGCAGTTTTTCTCCCATGGATGTAATTGATGTGGAGACCGAGATCTGTCTGCAACACGACTAGCATAGCACAGAGGAACTTCATTAGTTGATTTAAGCACGATAGCACTCAACTCTCACTGTTAGCTGAAGAATGTGAAAATAATGAACAAAGAAGAGAAAGAAGAGTTACTGAGAAAGAAGAGTGTACAAGAAACCACTAAGAAGTTTCTCGGAGATATATCTTGAAGGTAAAACTATTCAAAATATTCATTGAAAACGTTGCATATTTCACAAATGAATGAGCAACACTACCAAAAACTATATGTATTAAATGATCTTAAAGCCACTATGTATGAACATACCTGGTCTAGTATGGTCCTGGTGAGTGTCGAAGGCACGCTAAAAAACGAGATTGAAGCCTTTAATAAAGAAAAGGATCCCTATGTAAATAAGATGAAAAGGCACTTACCCTTCTTTCCATTGTAACAAGCAATCAAGATGATTAAATTATAGAACTCTGAAAGTACCCTAAATAACGGATAACTTCATATAAAGACGAATCCAATGAAACTAATATGGAAAAAAGACAGCAAAGATGTTGTTTGGCACCGTTGTCAAGGACAATTACGGCTTCATTATCGACTCCTTTTATGCAAATAGTGGAGATTCGCGCTAAGCAACAGTCGGAGTGTGGTTGCGACACATGTAAAACCACATCTAGCCGTGCAGGTTTCAAATTTTTCCGCACACTTTCCTTGACTCCTGCACGAACCGCCAGCACGGTAGATGTTAGGTCAAGTATAATATGGTGCATTCCCCAGAATTGTTTCCATGTGAACCATCAACGTGGCTGTTTTTCGATCATTTTAATATGTCAACTTCGAATAAATGCTCCAAATCCGCTGGATTCAACATGTCAAAAGAATCGAAAAGCAGCCACTCCATGATTCATATGGGAACAATTCTGGGGGATGCACGATATTGTCTTGAGAAAATTGTGAATATGCATGTGCACGATATTGTCTTGAGAAAGTAAGTGAAGTCAGTGTTGTTTTGCGCCCTGGGCGGAGCCTTTGGATAATTCGCATAGTAATATCATTCATCCTCTGACTAGCAGACACGAGCGCGCTTTGCGTACGTTTGTTCAGTTTATTTATGGGTTTGACGCGTTTTCGTTGATTTGCTGTTGGATTCTTGGATACTTGTTCCAGCTTGTCAAACAACGCAAGTTCGAAAGTGTTCGAGAATTCGCAGCAGTAATTTACGAATCGCGTTAAAACGCGCCCATAAACTTGTTAACCAAACACATGCAAAACGTGCTCCTGTCTTTAGTCAGACGATGATCAAAACACATCAGAAAACCTTACCTTGGGACTTGCCCTCTAGACAGCCTCCTCGTTCTGAGAAATCAAGACAGGGTCATTATTTACGTGCTCCAACACGATTTCGCACAACGCGGGAATTCAAAATTGTGCTCCAATCAAGGATTTGGTTTTGAGACCGGCCATGCTATTACTGTGATTTCTGCAATTCCTGCGATTCCCGTGATCCCTGCGAGTACCGTAACAATGTCTATTGCGAAAAAAAAAACAATGTACACTAAAATTCGCAAAGTGCTCCATAGTGCGTACATCGAAAGTCGAGGAATCACAGGAATTGTAGGAATTACAGGAGTCACCTCCTGGAATAGTACCGGCCCTTTCCCCCTCACATAATATCCATGTGTTCGAGGGAAATTATCTAACTGGATTTGGATAGATTACTGCAGAGTTGATGCTTTATACTTTCCAAATGTATCAGCTTCTTTCATCTCCTCTTGAGTTACCGGCTAATCTCTGTATTGTAATAGATTTACTTGTGCACACTTATTGAGCAACTAGCTGGCTTACCCGGCTCCGCCGTATGTTCCGAATAGAAAATTCCATTTCTTAACCGATCCGGACCAAACTTGGCACACATACACTTCGGGCCCCGGCGGGTGTCACAGTCCACTTTTCGTTATCGATCGATGTCGATTTCGATTTTTTGCAAAATTCGAGCTAGGGGGCTGGAATTTGGCAGAGGGGTGTAATCAAGCTCGATTACCCCCCTGTGCCAACTCCCAGCCCCGAAGCTCGAATTTTGCAAAAAATCGATAAAATCGATATCGATCGATGACGAAAAGTAGCCTATGACACCCGCCCCGCCCCGAAGTGTATGTGTGCCAAGTTTGGTCCCGATCGGTTCAGAAATGGAATTTTCTATTCGGAACATACGTACATACAGACATACAGACAAACAGACACTCAGCTTTATATATAAGATGTATAAATAAATAAATATGCTACAGAGAAATAGCGTGCACTCTATCATTCTTTGCCAAGTGTTGTCAACATTACAAGCATGGCAGTTTTCTCGCTCAGGTGTTGTCGCCACCGCAAGTACGCCAATCCAAACATTATATCTAATCCAGACATATTTTGCTGCAAGTGATCTTTCCCCCTCCCCCTATCTTCTCCCACCTTTCTTCCACGTTTTTGAGCTCATGAACAATCTGATTTGTTGTGTTTGGCTAATATATAAACTCCATCATTGACCTGCAGAGGCACTGAATAGGACGGGTTAAACTCGGTCAAACATGTTTTCTCAAGACTTCTTTTAAGTGATGAATCATCAGAACGCGTTGAGCGCATGTATGAACTTGTTGTTGAGACATAAGCAAATCGTTTTCGGGTTGTGTCAAGAGGTGCGATTTTTATTGCCAAATGAACACCTAACGGCGCACTTTTAGTGTTCAGTAATGTTATAGAAGACTTTAAAATTTTTGAGGATAAGATCGTCGCACCAGCTGTTCAGTCTTAATATCTTGAAATAGATTCTTACAAATACCCGTGCGAATGCAAACAATGATAATCTCTTAAATATTCGATCTTTTATCACCAAAAGTCGTTAAACTGGACATGTGGTAACTTCATTTAGCCTGCAAGCAATAAAACTTTGTTTGGTATTTTTGAAAGACTTGCGTAACTCAGTTGACTTGCGTTTCTGAGTATCTGTCCTATGTTAGCCATCGCGAGACTGTAGTTGTGTGCTATACGAGTGTGTAAATAGGATCGAATTGCGGTCTGCGGCTTGTTCGTATACGGGGAGATGACACGTCGGCGTCGATTGTAATCAGCACCAGGTGCGAATGTTCGTTTGTGCAAACAACACAGCCGAATAAGCTCGTCAAAGCGCGGCGAAGAGAGTTTCGCATCCACGTTGGCAAATGTGGAATGTTTCTCGGGCAACGCTGCCCGATATGTCGCTTTTATTTTTATGAAGTGCGGCGGCGGTTCTAGAAGTCTCCATGCTACTGAAGCGATTAGTGCACACGCATGGTTTCATTTTGGTCTAGTTTTGCTATGTTCGCGCATTTTATGTTCAAAACATTATGCTATGATCCATTTTGAGACTAGAAGACTCGACACGCTATGTACACTTGTTTAACAAGTTTGAACTTGTACTCTACTTGATCTTGGCTGATTCATCCCTTTGCATTGAGCTGAAACAAGTTCACTCTTGTTGAATAAACATGTGCAAAGCCTTTTCGAGTCTCTCAGCTTCAGAGTAGAGGATACACTAGGTTGTCATTACTCATCAACGTGGTGGGACATCATACTACTCCTTTGAAGTCTAAGTTTAACCTCATATCGAAAATTTTGATTCTCTATAGTTCTCGGCTTGATTAATACTGAATTATCAGCGAAGCGTTGCCAAAAATCACTAATTTTGGTCGTGGCTAAACAATCAAATCAATACAGTATCCTCATATCTCTCCGAACTCGTATAGCCTTTTGCACGTACATTTCTAGAAAAAAAAGTTTTAAGTCGATTTCTTATCTTCACTGCTTTTGGATTGGAATTTCACCAGGAAAATCAACAGACATTTTTTCATGCTCTGTTCACATAACCAAACAACCTTCTCATGTTTAATATATGTTTTTCTTCGTCATTGTTCATACTCCTACATTTTTTTCCTTTTCTTCATACTGGAGTGCTCACCAGCTTATTTTTCGTTAGTATACTATTTCGCTAAACTATAGTTTAAAAAGATAGACTATGAAGAGCGGAAAAAATATTTTGAACTCTCTGCAAGAAGATTTTGCTTGTCTAATTGTTACACTGCGTACCGCATATTCTTTTTTCTTTATCATGACTCAACGTTGTCATTATTCTTTCTCCAGCATGCATCTCTCTTTTTGAAAGTTTTTGTTCCTTTGCCGCATTGTCAAGCTAGGCCTGCTTGCATCTCAATTGGATCGACCCTTCATCTTTTGTTTCGAATGTCACATATTAATTCACGAATGGTTTTCTTTTCTTTTACGCCATGTTTCGTCTTCGCGTGCATTTCTTATACAGTGCGCGCGCACAACAAACGACCTAATTTGAGTCCTTTTCTAGCAACTGTCGGTCTTATTGTGAGAACAAAACAAAATTTAGCTGGATATCTAAGTTCTTTTGTGTAACTTTCGGAACTTATTTGATTTGAAGACCAATGTGCACTGTATGGCCGTTTACATATACGGAACTCTCTTCTTGGCCTGTCCTCTTGACCCTTTTCGCCACTCAAGTATCTGTCACACAAGTCTATATGGACAGAGCTCGTTTCGTTAATCGAGCTATATCTTGGGTCAGTCGCTCACCATTTGTTGCGTTAAGTCATCATTGGATGTTTCTCCGTCATACACAGATATACTATCATTAATTTTTTCGAGCGATGGGCTTCTCATACGCAAATTTGAGTAATTGGATTTTTTTATCCACCGTAACCCAACAATGAGGCTACAGTACGATATTCGTATTCAGCATGTAACTTAGGCCTCTTGTCACCCTCATCCGTGTTAAATTCTAGAGAAATCTAGAAAGAGAAGACTTTTTATCGAAGTAGCCTTTTTCAGATATTTTTGTACCACTTTGAAGAGCATTAAGCGCTATTCAAAATCGGAAGAACTCTCTGAAAAGAAAATTATGAGTGTTTGAATGTCCAGTTTGTCAAGTTTCAAATGGCACAAAATCAGAGAAAAGCTCTACAAACATCCATGCGGATTTCCACTGGCTATTTCATTCCTTGTGTCGAATATACTTTTAGTGAAGCTTTCCGCTAATTTCATGCCTTAAAGCTTGCGCTTTCAAACGCAAATTGACTTTACAAGAACAACAAAAACTTTCAAACGAGCACAATTCTTTCAGAGAGTTGTTCCGCGAAATAGGAAAGCAGATTTTCAATCATCGTTCAATGTTTTCGAAATGGTATAGAAGTCATGTGGAAAGGCCACTTCGATTGAATGAATCCTTTTAAGATTCCATATTTTTGGGGGCGGTACACTGGAGAAGTGCCGAATTGCAGCGCCAACCTCGCGAAATTTTCGTTTAATTTTTGGAATTGTTTTCTCATCGTAATTCCGTCTAGAACTCCTTAATTCCTACTGTCTTTAAATTACACTGCTCCAAATTATCTATTGCTTGACTCCATAAAATTTCAATTACAGGTCGCCCTACATTGTGTAATGGGCTTTGCCCGCTATTTCATTCCACGGCATAAAGACAATGTATTAGTATTTTTCATAGTTTTTGCATTTTTCTGTGGCTTCGTCTACTATAATCGGATAGGTACTCGTCATGTATTGCCAGGTGAGCGCTACAATATGTATTTTTGAATCCATTTATCAGGTTTAAGCCATGACTATCATCTTGAGTGGTGTTTCGAGCTTTTTCTCCGTGCAAATTTGATTGCAGCTGATTTTGAATGGTACAGTTATTTGTTTATGTAAATCAAAATTTGACCGAATTCTTATATATAAAGCTGAATGTCTGTCTGTCTGTATGTCTGTGTCTGACTGTACGTATGTTCCGAATAGAAAATTCCATTTCTGAACCGATCCGGACCAAACTTGGCACACATACACTACGGGCCCCGGCGGGTGTCATAGGCTACTTTTCGTCATCGATCGATATCGATTTTATCGATGTTTTGCAAAATTTGAGCTACGGGGCTGGGAGTTGGCACAGGGTGGGGGGGGGGGGGGTAATCGAGCATGCTGATCACCCCCGTGGGGGTGATCAGCATGCTCGATTACACCCCTCTGTCAATTTTCAGCCCCCTAGCTCAAATTTTGCAAAACATCGATAAAATCGATATCGATCGATAACGAAAAGTGGACTGTGACACCCGCCGGGGCCCGAAGTGTATGTGTGCCAAGTTTGTAGGGATCGGTTAAGAAATGGAATTTTCTATTCGGAACATACGGCGGAGCCGGGTAAGCCAGCTAGTAATATATAAATATAAATATATATATATATATATATATATATATTCATTCTCATTTATAGCTGCGTCGTTACTGTGATATCCTAATAGTTGTAGAAGTATCCCTATGTGAAGCTAATTTCAAAATCAGCAGAACTGACTCGTTTTGCTTCACTTAATTGTGTCCTAAGTTCTGCTGCTTTCGTATAGTTTATACATGATTATCTATCTTACATTATTACTAACTCTACTATTACCTGCAATGGAATCTTCTCATACAGTTGTAAGTATGTTGGCTTTTTGTTCACATTTCCCAGTTTAGAATAGCTCTCTTACTCATCATGGATAGCATCATGCCTGGAAATCCATGAAAACCTCATTTGACTTTTATCTACCATGTTTTCTTTGCCAAAATAGTTTTGAATATTTGTAGTTCATTCAGATTTTCACAAGTTATCTCACCATTTACTGTAAACATTTGTCATTTAAGGGCCTAGACTTGTACGAGATACGCGTCTGTGGTATAAGCCACAAACCGCTGATCCGAGTGCTCCAGGGGAGGGAGGGGCAGCGGTAGTACTCAAAGGAGAAGACCAAGCTCAAGGAGAAAAGGATATGAAGGAATGGTTCATGAACGTCAAGGCCAGGTAGATCTTTTATATTCTATTTTCTTGCTCATTCTCTGTTTGTTCCGAAGTTTCGCTTTCCCTTTTGGATCATGTTACACACTCTATTTTTTTCTTTTTGGCGATGTGGTCACAATTATGGCATCATATTTCATTCTTGTATGGAGAAAGATGAGACGTCGAACTCTGTCTTTTCTGTGAATGTCTCGTAAGGGGCATACGGCTTTTGATGTGCGCGGATTACAACACGCTCATAAAAGCCATGAAAAAGTTTGAAACGATGACCACGTAGAACCAACAAGCTTATAACATTATAAATGATTACGACATAATCGCATTGTAAATGTGTCGTAATTTTCATTCACTCTCCGCATCAATGGGTTTTGCTATGTGGTAATAAATACTGCCTTGCGATTACATCGAGGAGCAAGATGGGTTTCTGCTGAAGATACATTCTTTCAAAATGAGGGTGGTGAGAATTTGATGCTACTTATAGCAGGTCTTCAACTAAGCAATTACCTTACAATAAGTCCCGCTGCAAAAAAAGATAAAGTGTAAATCGAGAAAACGTTTCAGTGGCTGGAAGTGGCCACGCCCAACCTAGGTGGTTGAAGATAACAAGTCAAAATTTGGCATTTGTATCCAGAATTTTCATAGTTTTGTCGTTCATTATAACCACCAAATTTGCAACCTTTCCGTCTATTTGACTTCATTTTCCTCATTATTTTCACCCACGTTGATGGGCGGAGTCATCGTAACTGCTTCCACCTTCTGAAGCAATCTGCTCGCTTCGGAAGTCATCTTCAGGGGGACTTGCTCATTTACTTTGTTAGGAGCCCCGATATAACTTTAAGTTCTCATGACCCTCAATCTGGGTGACCGGTACCTTCAAGGGGTAGGGAGATGTTGCGCATAAAAATTTGCTTTGATAGAATCAGACTAATAAGCTTTGATTATTTTCAGCGACATGATCTCGTTGGACAGAACTCTTCCAGATACACGACGATCTGAATGTCTGAATATTAAATATGATCTCGAAAAGCTTCCTCAGGTATTACGAGTTCTACCTTCCTTTGTTCTCTGTGAACATTCTGACATCTTAGGCTTCTGTCATCATCATTTTCACCGATGAGGCATGGACTCCTTTGATGAGAACCGTGCATTCGGTTGTCAATCGTAGTCCACCTCAGCTCCTGAAAGAAGTGATTTTACTAGATGATAACAGTCAGCGAGGTGAGTTATTGTTTGCAAAATAATCCTTTTTAATATTTTTGGAACTGAAAGTATGAGAAGGGATGCCTGATGCTATTCAGCTTGGCTGATTTTTCTCCCTTCCCTCGTAAAAAATACATTCTAGAAGTCCTAGTTTCCAGATCACATGAGCTTCAATTTTTTCGAATGAAATTTAGGGTTGTAGCTAATTCTACACTGAGTTATTAGTTGTGCGGTCACGATAGATACTTCGGGTTTGACGTCAATTATGGTAGGGTGTAATTTGGCATGCTTCCATAGGTCTTAGACAACGTCTTCTATTAGTTGGGTTCTCTTTTTGGTTATTGCGATTGGTGGCGTTAAGTTCGCACAAAAAAGGCGAAAGTCGTTGGTCATTGCTATAAGAAGAAAATTGCGCCATTGCTTGGTATGTCGTTGCTTTGTTGTTTATATCGATTGACCTTCACGGGGTTTTCTGCTAAATTGTAAAGTTTTCTAGCTTATGGGGGACATGACATTCCTCGTTGCTACCAAACAGCGTTAACTATTATATATAAGGGTCCATACGCTAACTAGGCGTACCTAACTACCTTTTTTATAGCCCCCTTCCAAGATATCTCGTTTGGAAGGTGATTATAGTGCTCACGTCTGCTTTGCAGAAGAACTGAAAGATCATTTGGATGAATATATTCTTCGCTTCCATGGTGTGGTGCGAGTAATACGAAAGAACATCAGACAAGGCTTGATCAGGGCTAAATTGGCAGGAGCACGAGAAGCTACGGGGGAAGTCGTTGTCTTTTTAGATTCGCACTGTGAAGCAAATGCGGGATGGTAAGTTTCAACCAGACCGATTGCGTTGAAAATTATCAGCTCGAATCATATTCGATCCTCTTAGGTTGGAGCCACTGGTGCAGCGGATTAGTGAGAAACGTAGTGCGATAATCTGCCCGACCATCGATCATATAGAAGCCAAAACTATGCAATACTATGGAGATCCATATGCATCTTCCGTTGGAGGTTCATTAATCTTGGCCTTTCTCTCGTTCGGGTTTTGTGATCGTAAGATCCAGGTTTTTCTTGGGCTCTGCACTTTACTTGGGAAAAGATGCCAGAGAGGGAACAGAATCGAAGAAAAAGTCCAACCGAATATATCAGGTGTGCAGATTTTTTTTGCATTTGCGTCTTTTATCTTGCATTTATTCGATGTTTCAAATGCTTTGTATTTGCTGCTCTACAGCTAGATCTGTTGGCTACTTTGTTCTTTGCTAGCAGAATTTGCGCGTGAAAATTAATCAACAGCAAATTTTTGTGCATATTCTAAGGGTGGTTGTTATCTGACCATTTTTCCGTGCGGATATTGTCGCCAGCGCGGAATAATTTATAGCTTTCAAATTATCAAACAATAACTGTATTCTCCATTTATCATTTACTTTTTCATCGTTGCGTCTTCGTACCAGACTTTGTGTTATTTCGCTGTTTTAACACCGCTAAGTTCCTATTTTTCTGCAATAATCTTGTAGTTGCAGTTTGCATGAAGTAATATGCTGTTGTTTTGTCGCAAGCGAGTTCCTGTGTGGTATTCAAGATTTTTTCAGATCTCCTACAATGGCAGGTGGTTTGCTTGCTGCCAACCGAGAGTATTTCTTCGAGGTCGGTGGCTACGACGAAGAGATGGATATCTGGGGAGGAGAGAATCTGGAGATCTCGTTTCGAGTAAGTTCTAATAGTATTTGCTTTCCGAGTTCTTGTTGACGCCAGCATCAAAAAAATTCAGACTTGGATGTGTGGAGGATCCATAGAATTTATTCCATGTTCACACGTAGGCCATATTTTCCGAGCTGGACACCCATACAATATGACTGGTTAGTTGCTCATTTTTTCTGTCTGTGAATCTCTTTATGCATCTCTCTGTAATTGATTCCAACTGTTTTATTAAGAGTGTTGTTAATTATCGATTGTACAGGACGTGGAGGCAACAAAGATGTACATGGTACAAACTCGAAAAGGCTGGCGGAAGTATGGATGGATGAATACAAACGGCTATATTACCTCCATAGGCACGACTTGAAAGTGAGTTAGGATAGCTTTTTATCTTCATCATTCGTATAAGTCCAGGATACTGACGTTGGAGATTTGTCCTCTCGTAAAGCGCTACGTAAACGTCTTGGATGCAAATCTTTCAAGTGGTTTCTTGATAATATCGCTCCCGGGAAGTTCATTCCGGATGAAGATGTTCAGGCGTATGGAACGGTAAGCATATGCCACAGTTTTTTCCGCTTCTTTTATTGCTTGCTGTCCTATCATTTTCACTTAGGAATAATTAAAGGTTTTTTCTCATTTTTTGGTGAAGGCTGCAGGCCATTTTTTTGTTCTATGCATCAAACGCACTTTTCGTTGAGACGGATTAACATCTGTTAGCGGCTTGATGTTTATTATTTGACAGCGGTATCATCGACTGTAAAATGATTTTTCCAGCTTTTCACTACTGTCAACGGGTTTCGTATGTGCACAGATACACTCCAACGAGATGAGCATCAAATACACAACCTGGGTGTTTTTCCATGTCAGGGAAAAGGCAGCCCGCCTCAGGTAAGATTTTTCAAAGACATTTTTGTTGTGTTCTTTACCCTTGAGTCTCCTATCTCCAGTTGATGTCGCTTTCGAATGCCGGTCATTTACGAAGGGAAACAAACTGCGCCGAAGTACAAGTTTCGGAAAATCAACGCCGAGGTCTTATCAGAATGTATCCCTGTCATGAGAAGAGTCCAGTCTGGGACTACAAAGTAAGTAGTTTTGTGCTTTGTAAATATGTATGTTTGGTGGCATCATAAGCAAATGTTATAAGCACTACAGTAACAAACTGCGAAAAGTCACCAAGTTCACCATCAATAGCACAGCTTATTACGAGATCTTTGCATGTTTTTCATTCCTACTTATAAAGAATGTTTGTCAAATTATATGAACATTTTTCAGGACACCATGCTAAAAGAAAGGAACTCAGGACTGTGCTTGTCAACTGCCGGTTTGAAAGCAAGCGACGATGTAATTGTAGAAATTTGTGATAGTAGTAATCCTCATCAGAAGTGGCAATTTGTTAATCCCAATTTATAGAGCGCTTTAGATTGTTTTTGATGTTACTGGTATATACTGGATGTGATAGAATGTGATTCACCTCGCCTTGAGTGTTGTGACAAAACGTGCAATTACTTCACTTTTTCTTATCAAGTTGTTGTTTTACTTTTGTTATTATATGGGTCTGAGTCATGTCTCCATCTCAATGTGATGCAAAGCAGTTATTCATTTGAACATTCCATGTGTTTTTGTAGCATTTAGAGACATTTGTGATGAGATCGTTTGCACCATCATGTCAAAAAAGTCAGTTTTGTGTAGATAAAGCAATATTTATTACTACCCGTAAGAATTTATCCAGTGTTTATCAGATCAAGTACTTGAGTCACATCTCTATGGATTACATGAACAATGCTGCGTAGATAGTTTAGAATGAGTGAATCAGGCGACACTGCAGTAGTATCCCTGGCTCCAGGACCGCAACCGGATGTTCAGTATCCTCTGAAAGTGGTCTATTGTGGAGGTAAATTTCGAAAAATATCATTAGATTCTCAAACCATCTTTTCCCAGCGCTGTTGAGCAGTACTAAAATTAACCTGTTTTGTGTAGAATCAGATTTTTTTCACTGTCAGGAAAAACGAGCTGGTTCATTTAGTGAGAGTGCGATTTCGACGGCACACATGGACTTTTGGTTGTTTGCTGCACTTATTATATGTTGTAATTTCAAATTAGAAGCGTAGGAACTGTGTCCGTTTGTGTCAAACCATAGTTTTACAATAGAGAATTACCGTAGCTTCCAAACTTCCAAGTCATATAAAGCGGTAGATGCAGAGCACGTTATAATTTGATATGTGCAGTGAGAAATCTCATGGAGCTCTCAATGTACTGGTTGATGTATTTTCAAAGATCAGATAGAGCACCTCTAGGTATAGCATCCATCAGATTGTCGCTCACTTCATTGAGAAACGCGTTAGAATTGTTTAGTCGAGTACGAGCTACAGCGTTCAATGCTGCCCCTCTACTGGTGTTGTGATGGATAAGCGGGGAGCATAATCTATCGACGTTTCGGTATTGCGCTGGCAGCCACAACTCTGTGCCATTTACAGCGGCACCTCGTACAGTTTTATCAATTTCTCCTTAGCTTAAGCTTTCATGTTGAAGCACCAACTCGCGACCTCAACTGGTATGTTTGTATTGATAGGCATTATCTTACTTTGTTCCGCCCATTAGGAGCAGCATTCTACCACTGCCCGAATGAGGGCATGTTGATGTCTTGATAAAGCTTCATAGCTACGTGTTCTATATAGACACAAAAGGAGCCACCAAACCCCTATACTGGCTAACCATAAGGCTTGAGATATACCTGACGATAGAGGTATAGCGGGTGTTGGCGAATCGCTGATGTCTGCGCTGCCTTTAGCTGCTCGTGGCTGCTGCGCTGGGTACGCTTTGGGTGCAAGAACGAGTAGCTTTACCCATTACTACGCTTAGCTTAGCCCATTAGGAAAGTAAGTTTTGAGAACTATCAAAAACTGAAGAATACGATCACATGTTCCAAAAAAATCATCTTGTTCTCATCAACAAATCTTTTTAAGAAGCATACAGTTGCAAACCAAATGTTGCACTAGTACTGAGAAAATAATCATTACCATTATTCAAGCGGTGTCGCAATAGAATCTTGATTTGTGCTTGAGGCAAAAACCGAACGACCTAGGTCATAGCTGCCATTAATGTATTGAGGTGTACTGGTAACATCCCACTAAATCGTAATTTTTCTAATTTTTTGTTAATCCAATTTGATTCTTCGCAAAAGTTTTGTGCGGTTTTCATATTTATTTGTTCGTTCACTTTGTCAATTCTCTGTTAATTTTCCTATCGAAGCATTTGCGTTTTGGTCTTGCAAATTTGTCATAGTTCAGTAACGCAACAAGCGCTCTAAAAATCCTTCAGAAGTTCAAAAGGATGCTAAAAACGGGCAAATCCGAGCAAAATCAGCGCTAGCAGCGTGAAGCAGCTGAGAGAAGCTCACCAAAAGTGAGCTTCATATCGCGTAGCAGCGAGGAGCAGCTACGAGCAGCAAGCAGCAGCGCAGAGCAGCGCAGCATCGCCAGCTATAGCGGGTCTGTATCGCGTTCGCTGCAGCAGCCAGAAGCAGCAGCGTTGCATGGCGTCAATCGATACGCATAAAGGGCGTTGCTGCTGGCAGCGTCTTATCGTCAGCTATAGCGACCCATCGTCAAGTATATCTCAAGCCTAAGGCTTGAGATATACCTGACGATGGGTGGCTATAGCTGACGATAAGGCGCTGCCAGCAGCAACTCCTTTTATGCGTATCGATTGACGCCATGCGACGCTGCTGCTTCTAGCTGCTGCAGCCAACGCGATTCAGACCCGCTATAGCTGGCGATGCTGCGCTGCTCGTAGCTGCTGCTTGCTGCTCGTAGCTGCTCCTCGCTGCTATCTTATATATAAAGCTGAATGTCTGTTTGTCTGTCTGTCTGTCTGTCTGTATGTCTGTCTGTCTGTATGTCTGTACGTATGTTCCGAATAGAAAATTCCATTTCTGAACCGATCCGGACCAAACTTGGCACACATACACTACGGGCCCCGGCGGGTGTCATAGGCTACTTTTCGTCATCTATCGATATCGATTTTATCGATTTTTATCGATTTTTTTGCTGAGTTCACCTACGGGGCTGGGAGTTGGCACAGGGGGGTAATCGAGCATGGGGATTCCGAATACAATATTGGTTTTCAGGATTATCGATTACTTTTATCGATTTTATCGATTTTTTGCAAAGTTTGAGCTACGGGGCTGGGAGTTCGCACAGGGGGGTAATCGAGCATGGGGATTCCGAATACAATATTGGTTTTCAGGATTATCGATTACTTTTATCGATTTTATCGATTTTTTGCAAAGTTTGAGCTAGGAGGCTGGGAGTTGGCACAGGGGGGTAATCGAGCATGCTGATCACTCCCAAGGGGGGTGATCAGCATGCTTGATTACACCCCTGTGCAAAATTCCAGCCTCCTAGCTCAAATTTTCAAAAAATCGATAAAATCGATAAAAGTAATGGACGATCTTGAAAACTAATATTGTATTCGTAATCTGCATGCTCGATTACCCCCCTGTGTAAACTCCCAGCCCCGCAGGTCAAACTTTACAAAAAAATCGATAAATTCGATAAAAGTAATGGACGATCCTGAAAACTAATATTGTGTTCGTAATCAGCATGCTCGATTACCCCCCTGTGCAAAATCCCAGCCTCGCATGTCAAAATTTACAAAAAATCGATAAAATCAATAAAAGTAAACGATAATTCTGAAAACTAACATTGTATTCGGAATCCCCATGCTCACTTCCCCCTGTGCCAACTCCTAGCCCTGTAGGTGAACTCTGCAAAAAATCGATAAAAATCGGTAAAATCGACATCGATCGATAACGAAAAGTGGACTGTGACACCCGCCGGAGCCCGAAGTGTATGTGTGCCAAGTTTGGTCCGGATACGGCGGAGCCGGGTAAGCCAGCTAGTGCGATATAAAGCTCACCTTTGGTGAGCTTCTCTCAGCTGCTTCACGCTGCTAGCGCTGATTTTGCTCGGATTTGCCCGTTTCTAACATCCTTTCGAACTTCTGAAGGATTTTTAGAGCGCTTGTTGCGTTACTGATCTGTGACAAATTTGCAAGACCAAAACGCAAATGCTTCGATAGTAAAATTAACAGAGAATTGACAAAGTGGACGAAGAATTAAATATGAAAAACCGCACAGAACTTTAGCGAAGCAAAAGTGAAATCAAAGGAGTAAAAAAAAAGTTAGAGGATTTACGATTTAGTGGATGTTACCAGTAGATCTCAATACATTAATGGCAACTATGATAGGTCGTTCGGTTTTTGCCTCAAGCACAAATCAAGATTCTACTGCGACACCGCTCAAATAACTGTAATGATTATTTCCTTAGTATACCAGTGCAACATTTGGTTTGCAAGTGTATGCTTCTTAAAAAAATTTGTCGATGAGAACAGGATGACTTTTTTGGACTCATGTAAATCATATTCTTCAGTTTTTGGTAGTTCTCAAAACTTACTTTCCTAATGGGCTAAGCTAAGCGTAGTAATGGGTAAAGCTACTCGTTCTTGCACCCAAATCGTACCCAGCGCAGCAGCCACGAGCAGCTAAAGGCAGCGCAGACATCAGCGATTCGCCAACACCCGCTATACCTCTATCGTCAGGTATATCTCAAGCCTAAGACTGGTTTAGCAATATATCTTGGGCTATACCACAAAGTGGTAAGCCATCATAAATTCCGTATCAGTTCATGGTCTACAGTCTTGTAAGATGAAAGTGTATGAAAAGAAGAGTGGAAATTTGATGTGAAGCTCCGTTTTCCAGAATGTTCTATGCCTTTGGAGTACTGCGACTACTCCGGAATCACTGACAAGTGCCGAAAGTGGGCAGAAGACCACGCTCCAGAAGCACTCGAAGGTCTTGAGATTGCACCAGAAGGAGAGGGTGAAGAGAAAAAACATCAGAAAAGAGGCGGAAAGGGTACAGTTAAGGTAAACAAGGTAGTTTGTCTTTGCTCGACCTTATTGTTTCGAATGTAAAGGATTCCTTTAGGTTGAGAAGAAGAAGACGGCCACAGCAACGAAAATCACTCTTCAAAGAGAACCCCGCGGAAAGAAGAGCGTGACCGTTATCAGAGGATTAGCAGGCTTTGGTATTTCTACTTCACTTCTTTTGTCAATAAGAGATAGGATCTAGACTCTTGCAGAAATTGATCTCAAACAAGCATCAAAGCTGTTTGCGCAAAAATTTGCCTGTGGTAGCTCCGTTACGGGTGCTGATGAGATCGTCATACAAGGGGACGTGAAAGATGATATCTTCGATATGATTCCGACCAAATGGCCACAGGTATGAATTAAGATGGGGGGGGGGTTGTTTGTTTGTGTTATATACACCATTTCTAGGTATCCGAAGATATGATTGAAGACCTTGGTGACAAGAAGCGATAGAGTAGCTCAGGCTGTTTCTAATCATTTTTGTTATTGTTCGCATAAATACGTTTTTTGCTTCGTAATGGCTATGTTGCTACTTCATGTGGGTAAATTCCACTACCATTTTCGCCACTCTAATGTTTTCAGTTGTGATTTGCTTAAAATAGGACTGCCAGTTTCAGAATGAGGTTGTGCCTTACACCTCGACAAAGAAGGCGGGTTTTAAACTGGATATTATTTTCTGTTGGTGTTTTTCTCTTCATAACATGGAGCAGAGAAGGCGCCAAGTTGTATGAAGCACAAACTCCTGTAATGAAACATGTGGTACGTTTTGTTTGCAATTTCTTTGTAGTTAGCGAGTTTCGATGTTGCTACGGAAATGTGTGAAAGCCAGATTTTCTAATAAGTGATGATTTCTTCATAACTCAGACTTGTAACTTGAGTTCATTCATTTGTTCATTCAAACATCCTGAGTAAATTGAATTCTGCCCACTATGCTTTGAAGCTTGTGATTTTCTGAAAAATGGCCTTTTTCCAAAGTGAAATGAGCAAGGCGCGTTTGGTCAGCCTTGTCAGTGGCGGCTGGCCAAGTTCAGATAGTTAGCAAACCGCTTTATCTCTTAGATTCCCAACTACAGTATCCCACGAGTTGGTCCTGGTGAAAATGGCGAAGGAGTTTACTTAGAAGGAGAGGAAAAAAAGATTGCTGATGAACAAATAAAAACGATGTTTATGAATGTTCTGGCAAGGTGAGTCTATCTTTGCAGCTGATTTTTTTGATAATATAAAGATTTTCAGTGACAAGATCTCCTTAGATCGAAGTATACCGGATTCAAGGTCAAAAGAATGTTTGGCGCTCTCCTATCCAAAGAATTTGCCAACTGCATCCGTGGTCATCATATTCACTAACGAGTTTCTATCAGGTAGGCAGGAAAGCCTGTATTCACGTTGTTGTGGAAGATACATAGTGACAGTTATTTTGTTTCAGCTGTTCTCCGTACAGTGCATTCCGTCGTCAACAGAACGCCATCGGAACTGCTAAAGGAAATAATACTTGTTGATGATGTTAGTGACAGAGGTAAGTATTTGTTTCGTCATTCTGCTCTCCCAAGTCTGTGTCGCAGTTTTGCATGGTTGGCTATAGGTCATTTATAAAATCGTGACGACGGATGATTTGACTGCGAACTTTGCTCCCACAGGAGCATAAAACGCTCATACAAGATTACTTCACTTAACGCTCAGCTCAGTCACTTCCAGTGTCAATACTTTCATAAGTAAGCAAAAAACCATTCGACTAGAGATGAAAACCAAGAAAATGCCGTTTCCGGAAGTGGCGTGCGTGTAGCGCGCGATCGCGCCATCGTCATGATTTTTCAAACGCCCTCTACTATGTGCTGTTACAATGACACTGTCACAGTATAGCAGCTCGGGTTCTCGCGGCCGTTGTTAGTGCCTTGCGTCGCGTTCACGAACATATTCTCTAAACATCCCCACTTCTGAGCAGCAATTGAAGCTTGAGGGCGTGAAAATGAACCTATAACTACTCCCGCAAATGTGGCCTAAAGCCCGAGCGAAGCGGCCGCGTGATCTGAGCCGCTGGAGCTGTGTCACTCTCACTGAGACAGCCTCTAACTGATGTAACCAATCAAAGTCAAGTTGTGTACCCTGAAATTTTTTTCATTGTTTTAGAGGAACTCAAAGAACCCTTAACTGAACACCTGAAGCGCTTTGGCTCATTGGTGAAACTCATTAGATCTACTGAAAGACTTGGCCTCATCAGGGCGAAATTGCGAGGCGCTAAAGAGGCCAGTGGAGACGTACTCGTGTTCTTAGATGCTCACTGCGAGGCAAATGCTGGGTGGTAAGCGTTTACTAACGCAGACTTGTTCGTATAGGAAACACACCCTCAGGGCAGAACCATTGCTGGCGCGAATCAAGGAGGAGAGGACAGCTGTGGTCTGCCCGATAATTGATTCGATATCAGATATAAATATGGCATATCTGGGTGGTTCTCATGGAGGTGAGTCATTGTCAATAATTAATGAGGCTGTACGACAGAACTTCAGGAATCGGTACATTTTGGTGGTCTTTACACTACAGCATGGGACCGCTACCAAAAAGTGAAATAGAACGTAGAGCCAATCCTCAAACGGATTACATTAGGTAAGGTTTCAAATTCTTTGCTTTCTTTCCCCTTTTTTTACGTTTCATTGTGTTTCATGAATCTTCAATTAGCTTTGTATTTTCGGTCGCCCACGATGGCTGGCGGTCTGTTTGCTGCTAATCGTGAGTACTTTTTTGAAGTGGGAGGTTACGATGAAGAGATGGACATATGGGGCGGAGAAAATCTAGAGATTTCATTCAGAGTATGCTTATGTAATGTGAATCACTGTCGAGACTGAATGCGTATTTGAGGTATGGATGTGTGGAGGATCGATCGAGTTGATACCATGTTCTCATGTTGGTCACATCTATCGTTCTGGGCACCCATATGACATGACAGGTGAGTTGCACTTTTCATGTTTGACTGTAATTACTGTACCATCTGCAGCGGCTTTGCCGGCAGCTCTGGCGGCTGGCTGCGCCAGCAGTCGGCTGCCCGGGTACCACTTGCTACGCACCCGTAGATAATTGTACATTTTTTGTACTGACTCGAATTTTTTTCTCTTCAATATGATCTCATGCCTTCGCATCTGCGAGCATGTATCTAGTGCTGTGCATTACTGACAGCATTTGCTTATGTGTGGAAAATTGCCATCCTTCTAATGTCGACACTTCGGCCTAAATTGATGAATTGTTGATTACAATAGCGCATATTGAATCATCAACTCAAATGAAATAACCTAGGCCGCAATAATAACAAAGATGTCCATGGAACAAATTCTAAGCGATTGGCAGAAGTTTGGATGGATGACTATAAAAGGCTTTTCTATGTTCATCGAATGGGTCTGAAGGTGAATTTCTATTCGTTCAGTGAATATCGCGCATGGTTTAATTACTGCAGGACTTGGACGTGGGAGATCTGACAGAGCGAAAAAAGCTTCGAGAACGGTTGCAATGCAAATCGTTCAAATGGTTCTTAGACAATGTTATACCGCAAAAGTTCATTCCCGATGAAAATGTTTACGCTTATGGGCATGTAAAAGGAGAGAATGGACTTTGTTTGGACACACTTCAGAGGCTGGAAAACAAAGTGAGAATGTTTAGTACAATCAGCAGAGACTCACAACGGCACAGTCAACATTTCAAAGTTGAGCATATTTAGGGCACCGTAGTTTTGGGTGTATTTTCGTGTCAGGAAGGAGGCAGCTCAGCACAGGTAAAGTTTTGATTTTGAAAAGCTTGCTCTATGATTTTCTTTGTGCACCTTTGATGGCATTAGGATAAACGGTTATAGATGTTCTCCATTTCCAAAGAACATGAACTTCGAAGAGAAGCTACTTGTGTCGATGTTGGAAGTCCAGTGCGGCATGGAGTCTACAAGGCAGTCTTGCAAGAATGTGATGATAAAAACCCAATAGAGTTTGAACATGATCAGGTAGTTCATTTTTATTCCCCTTATTGTCACCGCAACAAGTGAGTTTGTGATTGTGAGGCATTACGAAGCTGTTAAGAATGGTCAAATTCGTCACAAGGGACGCGGGTTGTGCCTGGATGTTGAAAACGTTTCGTCTGGAGGAGATGTGCTGTTCGCTCGCTGCGTACTAGACAAAGCCAGCCAGCTGTGGTCGTTTGATAAGTATTTTGAGCTTCAACACTAAGTTAGTTCGTTTCTGTATTCACAATTCGAATCACTTTTTTATACTAAGCAATAACAGAGTAACGCTGCCGGTGAAGTTATACTTATCTTGAAGATTGAATTGCATCCGCCCGGCCCGTAAAACTCTGCGGGAGGATTGAGTCATCTTTATTTGATCAGTGATGTTGTTTTGGTCACTAAACATCCTGCAAGTTCTGATGTCTCGTGACTACCATAACCATTGGCCATTCTCCCTACCAGACGGATGTCGATCGCAGGATAGGTGTAACAATATTGTAAGCCACCGCCCCACTTGATTCGCTCTGTCCGCTTCATCATTGGTCAATTCAGTGAACTGACCAATAGTGAAGTGGATGAAGTGGATCAAGTCAAGCGGACAACCGCTTCGCTATTGCTCAGTTCATTGAATTGACAATGACGAAGCGGATCAAGCGGATCAAGTATGGCCGGTGCCTAAGGCAACATAGATGTGAGCCCACATAATCTCTTCAGTTTGCATAATTTCTTCGCTTATCTTTCTGCATCGTACTGCATCGTACAAAATACTCTGGGTTCTTTCTTCTATGGGTTTATTTTTGTGATAGGATTATCGTGACGCAGCTCACATAAGGCATTTTTGTTTCTGGAACTGTTATAATTTATCCGGTGCATAATTAGGAGGTAAAGAGATTCGAGATAACTTCATGCCAATATTGTTTGCCTCTTTTTTTTCGCTTTAGCCTGTGTATAGTTCACATACTGTGATTTTCTACCTGAATATGCGAGTGCTAGGTTGCCCGTGTGTCTGCATTTTGTAGTCATTGTCGAGTTGCACATCAATGCAAGTCTAACATATTTGTCATTGCTCCTCTTTATGTAGTCATGATGTTGACCAGTTGTATAAATATGTTTCCTGTATCACATTGCTCCGAAAATATTGATTACTTTGACTCTGGTGTTTCAATCTTTGCAAAATGGTCTTTGCCTTTTCTATGCCAAATCTTCACATTCAAATGAATAAATTGCCACTGCTTCTTCTACGGTTTTGGCTCCAAATCTGAACAGAGAAGTTTAACACATATTGAAGAAAATCTGTGAATTATCTGTAGTCTTTCGTATTTCACATTTTGCGGAGAGACGGTGAGGGGCGATCTCCCGTCTGCCACAGTTCAAAACTGCGATTTAGTATTATATAAGCCTCAAAAAACCAGACCTAGTTTAAGTAATGCCTAGCTAGAAAAGGTCTCATCAGAACCTGTAATTTTTCGGAATTGTACTGATGACGACACATTGAAGTACCGACACAATCGTCTATAAAAGCGACGATTGAGGAGTACCTTAAGTTGAAGGGAGCTGTAGTTGCGAAATTATCAGGAAGGAAAATCTTATTGTGGAGGTACTGTCTATTTTGAGATAAAGTACAATTGAAAAGTACGATTAGCTCAGCAAGTTCATTGCCAGTCGCCGTCGAAAACATCTGCACTGAAGGGTTGGAGGGCTTGGGCTGCCGCCTTTCTGTTGCTTTCTAAACCCGATAGGCTCTATGGGGGCCGACTTGAGGGCATTGCAAAATGGGGGAAACCTAATGACCCTTGCATATGGTGATGAGGACACTAACAATATGCTTGCCGCTACTTGACTTTCTCAGGTCAGAACCATGGCGTTGGACTGAATGGCACGTAATTCCAAGCGTTTGCGCGAGGTTGGTTGAACATACAATTGGAGAGGACGGCGCACGCGTACTATATTCACTGTTGTAAAATGCTGCGCCTCATGCGCTCTGTGGCTAATAAAGCCGCGTTAGCGCCCAAAGATATTGCGCCTTCGCCGTGCAGCAGCTTTTAGGTAAAAATTTGAAACCCACCTTGGTCGGTCATCGTCGATTCTAAAAAAACAGCGAAAACTATCAAAAACGCCTCGTCTGCAATGGCAGAAAGAAGCTGGTGGCGGCTTTCGAGTATGCCCGCAGCGCTAAGGCCGGTGATGCCGGCGGCAGTCGGCAAATGCTGCGCCTACTCTAGCGAAAGTGAGCAAACGTTACGTTGCAGCAAACAGGCGCCTAGGCGCTCAAAGGCAAAGGCTCGGAAAAACTAAACATCTCCGAATGTTGATATGGTAGACTGCTTAGGCTCCAGATATGAAGACAGAGCAAGCCTGAGCGTAAGTAAGCTGCTTCTGCCAAAAAAGCGGCCTTCAAACTTGTGCGCGAAGTCATTCTTACATGCGCTTGGAGACGAGCCTGCGATTTCCAATGCACGTCTATTTACCGCGGCCTTGCGGTGGGTGATGAAGTCATTGAACTGGATAGAGAGAGGCATACGAGTCCATGGGAGATTCCTGTTTTCCTTCGTTTTGCGGACGACATCATTCTCTTTTCGAGCAGTATCACTGAAGCAGAGAGCATGATGAAGGAACTGAATGAAGTACGGAAGAAAATCGGAAGAAGACTCAGTTCATGAGGAATGCCCTTTGTGAAGGTGCAGAAATGGAATTGGAAGGCATCCCTATTATGGAGACGTCTTCTAAGGTGTATCTCGGATGTTCTACGAACATGGAGAACGACTTGAGGGAAGAACTTGGAGAAGAAGAGCAGCTTGGGCCGCCTTCGGGCCTTTGAAGGAAGCCATTGACCAACTGGCGGACCCGGAGCTTCGTGCCCACCTGTTCGACTCAACCGTTCTATAGGCGATCTGTCGCACTGAGACTTGGGCTGAGACGTAGCTACGTCGAAAGCTCTAAGAACACCCAGAGAGCGTTAGAACGTTCTTTTGAAAATGCCCGGACACAAACAACATCTTGTCGGACTTCGCTGTACTGATATGGGAACGGCCATAGGTTGTCGGGGTTGCGAGGTTGCCGATCGTTGTAGGACCTATGATAGCCTCCACGTTTCACGCGCTCCCTAAACTGTCTCTGACCCCAACAACCCCGACAACACCGACAACCTATGGCCGTTCCCTATGAGAAGAATGTCTCTTCGTGACCCAGCGGATTACGTTGCGAAAGCGAAGCATCGATGGGCCGGTCACATTATGAGAAGGACAGACGACAGATGGACATTAAGAACATCGGAGTGGATTCCTCGCTAAGCAAAACGTCCCCGAGGAAGATCTCCAACGAGATGGGCAGACGTGTTCGTGAAATGGATGGACCAGTTGAGAGATGAGCTTGATACATCGTAATTTCGCGAAAAAGTTCCAAAACGCAAAAATAGCATGAGTTCCGTAATCAGCGTGCTTAGGAACCCCTCTGTTTTCTATAGCTTTCATATTTTTATGTTCAATATGGTTTTCATATTCATAATCTGTGCAAATTTTGTGCAAATTTGGGATTCCTAGCCATTTACCGTACAATCACCGTAGAAAAAATGGCGCTACCGTACAAATTGAATATGGTTTTCATATTTACCATGCCAAATATCCCCCCTCCCCCAAAAACGAAATTGGGACGAATCCGTGGTTTTCACCCCCTATCGTAATCCTACCGTAACTCCACCGGATGGCCCTACCATGGGAACAATGTGATATTCGTAATCAGCGCGCAAAACAACCCCTTTAGACGAAGTTCCACATTTTTTGGGTCAACTAATGTGGACTAGTACCAGAAAACCTCCTGTAAACGTCAAAAAGATCCTCCAAAGCAGCGTGCTGTACCATGCACGCCACCACGTTTAGACCGGTGCAAACAGGATCAACACGATCAACATGTACATATCACCACCGGTCCAAACATGTTGATCGTGCCAAAAAGACGTAATGAAGCGGTGATTGTGTGAGCAGTGGTGCACAGGCACCTGCTTTAACACCATACTTGGGTTCGCAGTTCCGCAGTTCTGCGAGTCGAGTTCCTGTCGTTTAATTTTCATGATCTTTGGATCTCTAACAGGACATCGTCCACTCCACAATTATGCTGTCCCTGCTCTGTGTCTCTGAGCCGCGGCACTTTCGGCTGACACGTTGGCAACATGTGACATCATTTTTGCAACATGCAACATGTTGGCAAACATTATGGCTACTAGCCCTAAGCCACACGTTGCTGCATGTCAGTCATGCGTGTCACAGACCACAGACGCATATCAAGGTTCAGCAATTGTAGATCGATCGTGGCTGTCTTTCGATCTTTCGACTAGTGAACAGTAATTGAAGGCGCTATTGCATCCGCGCGCCTCGGGATCGCATCGCGGTTTCCCGCTATTGGAAGATTTTTGATTTGGGCTAACGATTCTTTATATATTAGATTAGACATGTCAACTTTGAATAAGCGCCTCAGATTTGAGCCTTAGAGTTAAAGGCAGTGTCCGGGCAAGTTGAGGGGTTTGGGATCAGTGCCATGCGAAAGTGGCCCCCTCGTAGCCTTAAAGGCAGCGTCCAGGAAGATCTGGACCTATGGGGCTTTTACGTGGAAAGTACTTTTGGGGCCCCAACTAAGGCACTGCCTAAGCGGCAGCTCAGGTAGTGCTCTAACGGCTGAGATAATCCCCTCGAAACTGGCCCCCGCGAACGTATTCGCATGGATTCACGGCAGTTTCGCGCCAGGATCCACGCTTTGCGCTATGAATCCATGCGAAACACGGTCGCGGGGTCGTTTTGAGGGGAATATCTCAGCCACTACAGCACTACCTGAGCTGCCGCTTGGCAGTGCCTTAGTTAGGGCCCCAAAAGTACTTTCCACTAAAAGCCCCATAGGTCCAGATCTGCCTGGACGCTGCCTTTAACGCTTGACCTAAAGCAAGAAAAACATCCATAAAGTGGGGAACTTACGCCTGGGGGCGGGGTCCTCCGACCTGTTCGAATTCCTGATTCGGCAGAGTACGCATGCCGCCACAGTCAAAATTGTAGGGTCCCGTAGGGACTCTGCGTCTCTGCCTGGCGGGGACCGTCGAATTTCAAATTGTAAGGCTTTGGAAAACGCACGTTTTCGCCGTTTTCGCGCCTTCTGATGTGGATTTTCGGGTTCAGCGTTGCGGATACCCCTATAAGTGAATTTTCTAGAAATTCTTTGCCCGGATACTGCCTTTAACGTGTTAAAATGATCGAAAGGCAACTATGTTGATGGTTCATATGAACAATTCTGGAGGATATCTGCTGTCTGCACAATATCTACTGCATTACTGCAATACAACGGCTGCTTAATTCACTGCAATGATTCCATACACAATTCTCAGTACTGAACATAAAGGTGAATAACGTTTT